GTTGGCGGCAGCGGGCAGTTGCGACTGGAGCGGCGTGTGATTCGTGTTACGTTCCGTCCCGTACGTGTTTTTTCACACCGCGGTCGAAGACTCTGCGTGTGCGACGCGTCCGCGTGGCTCACGGTTTCTCTTTTCTTTTCTCTTACTTTTATTTCGCGTCATCATTAAAACGGCGCCGCGCCGGATTGTTGTGAAACGCAGCAAGTGACGCGCGGCAGTTACTGGCAGTTACCGGACGTTATCGAAAGTGACGCAGTGACGCGTTCGGTAAAGGCGGAGTGGTGTTCTAGTGTTACACTTTATTGTGCCAAGCATCGGTTTCTTCCCTCTCGTTCGACGGTCCCTCGCATTCCAGTTTACAATCACTCTCTTTCTCTTTCTCTTTCTCTCTCTCGCTCTCTCTCTTTCTCTTTCTCTTTCTCTCGACGAACTCCTTCGCCGCACCACTCGAAAACTTGGACCCTGTCGCGGCCGGAAAGAGCGTTTCTTCGGAAACTTTTGTGGCGGACGATTACTCCGATTACTCGCTCAGTGGTGAGGACTGGTGAGGACACTCGGTGTAACTCGACGCGCATTCGTCGACCATCCGATTGGCTCTGTCTTCTCGGTAAGTTTGTTCTTCATTATTCAATAGGAATACTCGATCCTGCCGCGATACCGCACGATTTACCACCCGACTCAGCTTTAAATGGAATACAAACGGTGCTTATTTATTTATATTTGCTCTCTGTATTTTGTGCGTTTAACGAATGACTTCCGCCATATTTAAAATTTGACAACATTGACGGTCAAATGAGACGAAAGGATGAAAATTTTGCTTCCGTTTGACGCGAAAAGTGTATCGAAAACAATCTATTTCAAAAAGAAAAAAAAAGGCGACAGGCGGGAAACAGCGACACAGGGTGGAAAGTACAGGCGCGACGCGACAAGTTTAGAATTACCCAGTTTTTAAACAAGTCTTGGCGCGCAACTTACATTCTCTTCTCTCGTTATAATTTTGTTCTGACTTTCATATTTCAATGTGACCTTTCGTTTCGAGCTATACTTATGTTGTAAAACTTGTTTACAAGGGGAGATGACATTACTGTTGTTTATTAGGATCCTTTTCAAATTGGTGTCGTTAAATTTGCCTTTATGTCTCAGCATTACGTTGACATTCAATTATTTTTTACGCTAGCAATTATTATTTTATTAAATACTTTAGATTCAAAATAATCCTCTAAATGTTTACATTTTAATGCCACATACACAGAAAAATTATTCTACTGTTAAGAAAAGTAATTATTCAATTTATTGTTTTAAATAATATTATCCTTAACAAAGAATATTTTCTTGATAATAATTATAAAATATATTTATTATAAATTTTAGAAGAACTCACTAATATGTATTTAAAACAAGAATTTATTTTCTGTTGAAGAATATTATAAAATCGATCAAAGAAACAATCATATTATAAGCAAATTGAATTTGTTTTAATAATCTTGATTGAAATATTAAACTTACTGATTGAATAAATTTAATAAATTTATGGTAGATTTGCGAATATATGAATTTTTTAAATACACTTGAAACAAGTAATTACCATTAGCGTACAATATGTACTTTTCTGTAGATTCTCTGTGGATTCGACTTTTTATTACATAAAGATATTGAGGTAGCGATATTTTTCGAGTTATAAACAAAAAATAAATATTAACAGAAAGTTGCAATAAATAATATGTGTGTATGAGTTCCCTTGGTATTTTTGTTAAAGCTTGACTATGAATTTGTCAGAGAATCTATCATTTAAGATAGTTTCGAGCGAGTTATGGAACAAAAAATCTGTAGGATCAACATTCGTGACAACATGACATATTGTGATATATGGCATATAACGCTGTATGTAGGTATATAAAGTTAATTTTTTTCTTTCTCAAAAAATTATTTTATTACAAAATTATTTCATAAAAGAAACAAGAATACATTATATAAATTTATTTTTTTTAATTATACGCTAAATCTTATAGAATTTTTCAAGTATATCGCATATCTCTTTCTGTTTCGAATTTAAATGTATACATATAACTTATTACTTTCATATAATTCTTGACAGCATAGAACTTGAATCAATAAGTACTCACAAGTCTGTTTTTCTCAGTTACACTTTTTATCTATACTCCCTTCTTGAAAAAAAAAATATATATATTTATCTCTATTTTCTTTCTTCTCACAAATTCCTGAATTATATTTCATGCGTTACATGAAAATGCATCTAGCATCGTGACTGTAACTTCAAAGCTATTATTTGTAAGGATACATTCGTTAAATTATGTTTTTTATAAATACGTGTATGTTATAGTCACTAATTAATCGCACATTATATCGATGATTTTTTAAAACTATTTTCCAGGTGATAAAAATTATAGTTTTGCACATTCATTATGGCACTGATAATTTATATTTACATTTAAACTAAATGTGAAATTACCAGTAACCGTAATGAGAGCGTGGAATCACAATTTTAAACACTTGGAAAACAGTTTGAAGAAATCGATATACTGGCGCACTATTAATTTCGTGACTGTACAATTTTAACATGGAATTATTAATTCTTTTATTTGACACACTTGAAAGAAAATTGAATATCATGGACGGCGGATGATGTAGCTAAAAATCTTGCTGTATGCAATTTTATCTTTTGAATTAATCGCCGATTAAGGTAATCGAAATTTGGTGGAAATTGTTCTAAGGATCTGAACGTGGGGCTTGTTGTCTCTCTCAATTAGGAATTCTGGTAACGTTGAAAGCAACGTGCGCGATGCTGTGTCACTCGATGCGGCAACGTTTACCCTCGTTGTCCCTAGTTTCCTTTGTCATAAATAAATACACGCAACAACGACATCCGATATCGCGTCCACATATTCCCGCTTTTTTTTTATTTTGAGTGTCATTTTTCGTTTTCCTTCTCTTCTTTTTTTCACCGTCGCGCCCATCGATTGCAATCGTTGTTCCGACAAGAGCAATTTGTCAAACAAAAGTTCAACGTGGGTGACGTTGTAGGCTTTTGCGAGCGACGCCAGTATATACGATAAAAGTCGAGTCAGGTTGAAAGAAGTTGACGTTTAGAGCGAAGTTTCCGCATCGATTCAAAATCCGGAGTAATGGTGATTTTAACACGTAGGTGAATAAGTCTCTATCTTTTTGAACTCGGAGAACGCATAGAAAGTAAAGATTATGAAATTGCATGATTTGGTACATAATTCGTACGAGAAGTTGCAGTTCTTTCAAAACAATATTTTTCGCAAAAAGTGAAGAAAAATGAAATAATTTGACATTTATTGTTAAAAATAAAAATTGCAGTTAACTGAGCGATAAATTTTTTTAAATAAGGGAATCAATCTTAACATAACAATTTAATATAACAACTATTATAAAAATCTATAGTAAATTTTTGATTAGTTTATCGTTGAACAAGAAAAGATATCGATAAATAAGTATTTAATGAATTAAATATGTATCGTGAAAACGAAGCTTTAAAAAGTAAACAATATAGCTTTGTGAACTTTTCTTTATTAATACACATGTAATCGATAAAAACTATTTTTATAACTGTCACATCTGTGCGAATATTTTCGGGTTACGTTCTTCGTTGAATTCTCTGTTATTTTTTTAGCAAAGTGTATTAAATTATGCAATAAGATTATTAGAAATTTTATTAAAATTAAAAAACTAAATTTCAGTAAAAGAAAGAGAACTTTTGAATAACAAATTTGTTTTCTTTTTTTCTTTTTCTCACTTTATAAAGTCTTGAGAATGCGTAGATAAAGAAAACGAATAATTGTTCGATATTTGTGAAAATTCGACTTGAAATTTCTGAAGAAGTCTTGCCGCACAATCCTATGTCTATTTCAAGACACCTTGTATACGATTAAATATCGAAATATTTATTATCATCGAGATGTCGATAATTGTGATAAATATTTCGACGCCATACGTAGACGCGATACGTAGGAATGTAATGAATGAAGACGTTTAGTTAACGAATACTGTGGGGCGAATGCGCTTGTTCGAAATGGTTTATGAAGTTTTCTTGCGTCGCGTCACGAGCGTGCCACGAGAGAGCAGCCACGCCGTGACCACCAGCTTATCGTTCTCGAACATGCGTCGTTACGTTCGAGTCACGGGGCCCCTCCGGCGAAAAGCTTGGAACCGGTTTCGAGCGTATAGAATCGTGTTGAGTAGCCAGTCGGCCATATGCACACGACTCGCTATGACTTTCTAAATTTCCGTCCTGCACATTAGGTCCTACGATCGACCGTTGCATTCCCATCGAGACTATCTACTTAGAAAAACTGAAAGTTTGCAGGTAACTGTCCTTCGTCCGAAAAACTCAGGTAATTTGGTCATAATGTTTTTGTCGAAATCGCTTTTTTGAAAACTTTACTTTTATATTATGAGTACGAAGACAAGACGCTTTAAAGACGCCTTAGAATTTGTTAACATTTTTACATTTTTAAATATTTTGTAGAATTTCATTTTAGACAAATTTCGTTTTATTTGAAATAATATTTCCTTAATTTTTAAACAACTCTTTTTAATATTATAGGTATTTATGACAGATTTTATATTTTTATTGTTTCTTTTATAAATAAAAGATTGAATATTTTATGCTATATAAAAATTAACATATTTATCTTATTAAAAATTTTTTTCAAAGTTGACATTTAAAACGACTAATTTTACTTTTTCTCTTTTACTGTACGAGCATACAAAAAGAAAGAAATAAAAAGTTTACCTAATTAAATTTACTTTAAAGTTGTCATTAAAATTATTTTAATTTACGTAGAAATTTGATCAAAGGTCTGAAAAATCAGATAATTCTCGGAAAATCTTTTTCCAAAAACACAAACATTTTTTAATAAACATCTACTTATTTTTTTCTATTTCTTGGAGTGATATTATGATAACTATTGAAGAATAATTTTGATAAAACATGATTAAGTTTATTATAACAAAAAGAAAAAAACCATCAGTGCAGGAAAAATTCACTGTTGCATTTATGTTTATTATTAAATCTTTACGGAAATTGTTCCAAAATATTTTATAGATATAAAAAAATACTGCTCTTTTTGTACATTTAGTTCGATATTATTCTAGAAAAATGTAAAAGATAATAATTTTAACTTAACATACCAAATTAATTGTACTTCCGTGTGCATACCTGTATACGCATGTGTAATAGATTATATAATTGAAGGGCTCTTTGAGAAAAAACATTATATCCAATATTTTTTTAATTTTACAGGAAATAAAAAAACATGATGTAATCAATGCACAAGTAGCGTTTTTCTATTAAAACACTTTTTATCAAAATTATGATTGCAACTTTTTTGCAGGAAGCTCTTCAATTATTCAAAGATAAAGTATATTTTTAATTTTTTTCTAGGATCGATTGTGAGATTTTATTTAATATTATTGTAGATTAAAATAAAAGTGGTCAAATTTTAAAATGTTGGTGCAGCAATTACATTAAAATAAACGATAAAAGATATCTCAGAAAATCGGTACTTTATTATTTTTATTTAATATATATTTTGAAATATCCAATAGTGCTGTTTGCTCTAC